ATTTGACATCCACAGTGACAGAGCAAGAGATTTCTATTAAAGGTCAACAGATTGAGGGACTGCTTGGGAAAGTTTCCTCATGCTCAGAGAGAGAGAGAGAGAGAGAGAGAGAGAGAGAGAGAGAGAGAGAGAGAGAGAGAGAGAGAGAGAGAGAGAGAGAGAGAGAGAGAGAGTGGTTAATATTCCCACACACCCACACACACTCCACCAGCCAGCAGAAACCAATACATGAGCTCCCATCCAAACTGGCCCAGCCCAACGCCAAACGCCCACAGACACACACACACATCAGCGCTCTCCTGACCAGTCTTGGCTAGCGTCTGCCCTGGCCGTTAGTAATGGGCCACTTAATGAACCCATTAAAGGAAATAAATGACTGGACTTACACATGTGAAAAGAGTCCTGGCCGGGCATCCGTCACAGTGGCTCCGGGAGAAGTGTCCAAGGTGTGCCGAGTCCTCGGCTCAGGTAACGGATGAAAGACGGGGGAATGGTCATGAATGGTGGAATGTCTTCAACAGTGTGTCTCTGGGCATATCTGTGAAGTCACAGGGATATTGGACAAGCGTAAACGCACTGGGACCGCGCCAGTGGCTGAGGAGTAACTGTGGGCTTCTTTCTCTCCTGTAAGCGACAGGAGTGTTTTGAGGAAATGGTTTGGATGGAGCTTAAAGCGTAGAGCGTGCTGTGTGAGCATTCACTCCAGCAAGGGTTTGGCACTTGGCCCTGTTTGAGCTTTAGCCTCAAATTATTCTCATTAACGGCTCCTCCGAGGGGAAATGGCCATTTGTCTGTGTGTGATACTCGTACCTACGAGGCTATTGGGGCTTTGGAGCTCCACCAATGAGAAACATACAGTTCATTGCGCTAAGGTTAGAGGTCACCAGCTGGAAAACCCACGGATATGCTTCGGCCAAGAGCCTCCGAACGGCTGGATGGCTATTGTAGAAACTAAAGGGAGTTTAGACATTGACGTCACACACTTCTGACAGCGAGACAAACAGCTCATAATCAAGGTCTCCTTACACAACCGGTGTTAAGTGATTACCCAGGAGCCTTTATCACACTGAATCAGTCTCAACTACTCCCTCACGTCACTTTAAACCTGTGGAACAGACCGACATTTAAGTCCTTATTCACTGAAAATCGCAAATCATACTTTCCATTTCCACACTGGTGTGTAGGAGTGAGCGGGACACAACCGAACGCGGGGCTAGTTGTCACACACTTGTTTTAAATACTTCCACACATGCTAGCATGAGTATATAGTGAAAATATATATAGAAAAAACACATTATATGGAGAAAAAATTCGCCAACATTCAGAAATCGTTGGAAGATATCACTGAACATTCATTTAACCATATAGTCGTTTAATGCTGATCTAACAGCAGAAACACTCGCCGGGTTTAAACCCCAGTTGGTCAGGCGGGGCATGTTGTCACACTGAGTTACAATGAGCCCCTATTAGAACTATTATATTCTATACTTTTATCAATTCTATTGAGAACCCATGAGGAAAAGGTGAATAAAGACTGAGAGTCAATGTTCAGGAATTATTCAGTATTATTATGTTTTGAACTAAGCTGTATAGATGTGTTTTGCGGTGTGTTCGTTGTCAAACTCAAACATGTGTTTATTTTTAAGTATTAAAAAATGCCATTATTTTATGTGAAAAAGTTAATAATTGTATTTTATTGAGAAAATGTCTTGTATATATTTTGGAATAGATCAGATAAATTTAATCTGTCATATGATCATTTTACAATGAACACCACCTATGGGGCATGTTGTCACATTTCACTTCCATTCTTTCAGGGTAAGTCAAGTAAAGGTATACACAGTATTAATGACACAAAACCACATAATTGTACATAATTTGACAGTGTTAGGTTGTGCCCCGCTCTCCCCTACGGTGATCAGTTACGACACATGATGTCTGCTCGTGTCCTCTCTGAATGATTTCAGTCTTTCATGTGGCTTCAGAAGACTGAATATAGTGCACGAGTCATACAGACTAGCTGTATGCTACTTTAATGATAGTTTAATGACGCTCTTTCACTGTTGGCATCTGTGGTCAGTCTACAGAAGACTAGAGTAGTCAAACTCGACAGTAACACACAGTAGAGCCACTCTTTTGGGGCGCCATGGAAGAAAGTAAGTCATACAGATTAGAAAGGACATGAGGGTGAGTACATCAACTGTGTAGACCAACTAGCGCTTTAAACGGCTCGGCAGAAGAAAGTCTGGAAAGGGAGCGAGGGCTGGAGATTTACGGGTGTGACTTAGGGATTTAGTTCCTGCCATGCGATTGGACGGAGTCATGCGGAAACAAAGGAACGCGGGGAGGTGGTGCTGGAGGACAGAGAAAATCCCCTTTGGCACAAGCTTCTGTAATTAATTCAGGAAAAATTCATCCCAGCAGGCTTTTCCCAACACACAGCTCCTTTAATCACTTCATATCCTCCAGGAGAGCGTCCAGCAGCCCCGGCCACTTCCATGTACTCGCCTCCTCCGGGCTTTAATGCTACACACTCAAGAGTGTGAAGCAAGTGCGGTGTAGAGACATGTTCCCGTGGACGTCCCATGTGAAAGCTCGGGGGTGTTGGGGGTGGGACGTGTCCTCCCTTCACGCTCAGCCTGTGTTTCCCAGGACTGTTTACCACAAGACGCCGCCATCGCTGCCCGTACTCATTAACACCAGCCAAACGGGCCGATGCCAAATCCTGCCCACCGTAACCCTGACGATCCAGCATCCTGCAGGGGGGGGGATGATGTCATTGTGGGGCATGCTGGGGGCCAATCAAAGCCTGAGAAAATTATGTCAACCTTTGTTGAGTTTGTCCATTCAGCGCTATAGAAGCGCAGTGAATTGAGATTGGCGGAGAGGTCATTTTCCCTGCGTGTGAGAAAAAAAGAGGAAAAAAGAAAGGCGAGCGAGAAGGGAAAGCATTGTGGTCATGCTAATGGTGTCGAGTTGGAGATAGCGGCATAAAGATGTCATGAAATTTAATTGCCAAAACATCAGCGCTTGGCCTATTGTACAGAAGCCCACGACAGGAGCGACACAGGGAGACTTCAGGGTGAACTAGTCGCAGTGCTTCTGTACGTGAGCTTGATCTGTGTACGAGGAGAACGACCGCCCTCTTCCACACACACAACCCTAGACCTCAGCGGCACGCTGGCCTCGTAGCCGAAGCACACGGGCTTATGTGTACGAGGAGAACGACCGCCCTCTTCCACACACACACAACCCTAGACCTCAGCGGCACGCTGGCCTCGTAGCCGAAGCACATGGGCTGTTCCTGACACTGAACGACACTTCAATAGGAAATGATCATGGAGGGAATCCATACGATTGAACTGGAAACACAATATGTAATCCGTCTCTGTCTGGCACATACGCAGAGGCTGGATCGCTCAGAGACAGGTCTATATTAGACTGTATTATTAGTGTGGCGCTGAAACCCTATTGTAATTGATAATAGGATGATAACGTTTTTCAACATTTTTTAAACTTGCATTTTGGATCCTGTTTCAAAGTGTGTGTTCTCGAGCCCCAAACACTGTTGTGTGCAAATGAACGTCCAGAACACATTAAACGTTTTCTGTGTTCAGTTAAACAGTGTCGTGTTAGCGGCCCCTAAGTTAATAATGATCTTAGCAATGGAAGTGAATCAAAAGAATTTGCGAGTTTCAAGTCAGAATTCAGTCAGAAGAGCGCACACTGAACACAATTCTTGGTTTCAGTGATGGCTAATCTGAACGCCTCTGATTGGCCAATCACACTCATAAACTCAACGGAGATGCGTGCGATTGGTTATAATGCTCAACGCTGCAAAACCAAATCTGATGGAAATGCCGCAGTCGGATGGACCGTTAGTAGGCCTAGTGTAGTTTGTTTAACTGGTATTATCACTTCGCCTAAACGCATTCCATTACATAAATATTTTGAAACATATTACCATGACTTTTCCAAAACTTCCTTAGCCTGAAATAACCGGAAGAATGACATCCCTGAGTCAGGTGGTTCTCTTGAAAACAGTGCATGAACTGCTTCCTAAGAATTTCCGATCTGTGCAAGAAGAAGATTCAGATCAACTGAACTCCAGCGTAACTGGTACTGGCATTTGCCTTCACAAGAGCGAAGACAGCGCGAGGTTAGTTAAACTCAATAAATCTGCCGTAAACAGGACGTCTGACACACACACACACACACACACACACACACACACACACACACACACACACACACACACACACACACACACACACACACACACACACACACACACACACACACACACACACACACACACACACACACACACACACACACACACACACACACACACACACACATGCCAGATAAGACAACAGAACTAATCACTCAGTGTGTTCAGTCAGTGCTGAGGTGCTGTTTGTGTGTAAAGGCATCGCAGTCTGGAGGACAGTAATCTGGGGGAATTATTACACATGTAGGCCTATAATAGAATACGTCATTATAAAAAGTTTATTTTTATTAACCTTTAATATCTTGTGCATGTCACCGCCATTTTAAAATCATGACAAAGACACAGTTTTGATAGAATTCTTTTCAAACCACTTTCTTTCTTTTTTTTATTCAGGCAAAAATTCAAAATTAAATAAATGCAAAAAAACAAATCATGTTATCCAACCATGAATAAAAAAATAAAAAAAATGCAAATAATGAAATGAAGCAATTGAGTGCAAGAGGTTGTGTGACAGTGTAAATGTAGCCATCATGGCTCGTATAAAGCACAACCCAATCATTTATAAAACGACATTGCTCTATTAAAATATTAGCACAATATTAATGACATAGGTAGAAGATCCAGTCCCTGGCACATGAACTGAAGTTAATAGTATGAGTGATATGGTCAACATCACAGCTGTTGTGCATGTTAGCGTCACTGGAACAGTACTGACCCATCAGAAGGGAACATGATAAAGTAGAGAGCAGTCCAGGCCTCCAGAGCGGGGTAACACAGCAGAGGCCGCCTCGTATGTCACACACAACCCAGAGCAATGCCTTACATCCACATATCTCCACATATCAATCCCAGAGTCCCCTGTGTTCCAGTCACTCATCCACTGTAGATAGTACTGTAGAAACAAACAAAAACAAGTTCAGGTCAGTTTGAGAGTCTCAGATATTAATGAAACATCTCCATAAGAACAAAACAGACCGATCTGAATCAAAGGCAATATTGAGTTCAAACAATGTAAACTTTTTTTTTAAAGATTTTATCAATATGGACTCAACTGGAAGGTCCGAAGTTTGTATATGAATGGTGGTTGAAGGGGTTAAAAATAAGATGGTTAGTTGGATAGATGGATAGTTATTATAGTGCTAGTTACTATATTTTTTATGTAAGATTAAGACATAAAATTAAGATCTGATCAGAATTAGAGCTCAGAGATGCATGTGTGAGTCCAGATCCTCCCGCTCTGCACGTCTCTATTATTGAGGAGATATGATGGACAGAAGACGTGTGTGGATTAAACGACACTGTGATGACAGTTCTGCTTTCCTCTGATCTGAAGGAAAGGTTTCTAGAACTGAACTTAGTCCAAAACTTGATCCTCCAGCACTGATTCTCAATAGACTTGCTGTAGAACAGCGGATTTACCAAATGGCAAAAATCTAGAGAGCCGAATTTAAGAATACAACATGATGGTGTAATGAGCATCAGTGCTTGACCTGTGACCCCTGATGACCCCTGATGCTGGTGTTTCAGAGCGAGTGTGTCGTGAAGCTTCCCGTTCCTGATGTCGTCACCGTCATGACTTCACTCATGTTTGCGGTAACACACACACACACCTCCAGCATGACATCAGTGTTGTTCCTCAGTGCTGGTGTCTCTGTGGAGACGGCGAGAGGAGCGGGTGGCGGGTCGAGTCCTGGTGTGTGTGAGTGTGTGAAGAGTCACGTTCCACCTCTACCTGTCTGGGCCTCGTGCCTGAAGCCCAAACCTGCCTGTGTGTGTGTGTGTGTGTGTGTGTGTGCCTGGGGCCAGAGCGTATCACTCCATCAGCTGCTGGCAGTCTGCCCTGAGTCACACACACACACACTCTCTACAGTGAGACACACACTCTCTACAGTGAGACACACACTGCTCTCTACAGCGAGACCCTCAGCAGTGCTACCACACACTCATCTGCAGTCTTATACGTCTTCATCAAACTAATACTGTGATCATTTACAGTTCATCTAGTTCTCTGTCTCTTTATTTACTTTATTTGTATACCAGATTTACAAGACGTTCCTTAAGCGAGTTTTTTTTAGATTTTGTCAGGTTTTCGTCACTTCTGGGTACAAATTTGTCCCTAAAATATAGTTAAGTAGTTACACACACACACACACGAGGAGGGCAATCACAGCGTTTCATCTGATATCTCTGATATCTTCACACACACACTCACAGCGATGGCTAATGTTTACGTAAATCTGTGAGAGCAATGCTAACACTGCAGCTGTGAGTTACACACACATGTAGAACACACCCGGGTCCCGACTGAAACACACCTGACCTCTCGACTGAAACACGCCTGACCCCTCGACTGAAACACACCTGACCTCTCGACTGAAACACACCTGACCTCTCGACTGAAACACGCCTGACCTCTCGACTGAAACACACCTGACCTCCCGACTGAAACACACCTGACCTCTCGACTGAAACACACCTGACCCCTCGACTGAAACACACCTGACCTCTCGACTGAAACACACCTGACCTCTCGACTGAAACACGCCTGACCTCTCGACTGAAACACACCTGACCTCCCGACTGAAACACACCTGACCTCTCGACTGAAACACACCTGACCTCTCGACTGAAACACACCTGACCTCTCGACTGAAACACACCTGACCTCTCGACTGAAACACACCTGACCTCTCGACTGAAACAAGCCTGACCTCTCGACTGAAACAAGCCTGACCTCTCGACTGAAACACACCTGACCTCTCGACTGAAACACACCTGACCTCACGACTGAAACACACCTGACCTCTCGACTGAAACACGCCTGACCTCTCGACTGAAACACACCTGACCTCCCGACTGAAACACACCTGACCTCTCGACTGAAACACGCCTGACCTCTCGACTGAAACACGCCTGACCTCTCGACTGAAACACACCTGACCTCCCGACTGAAACACACCTGACCTCTCGACTGAAACACACCTGACCTCTCGACTGAAACACACCTGACCTCTCGACTGAAACACACCTGACCTCTCGACTGAAACACACCTGACCTCCCGACTGAAACACACCTGACCTCTCGACTGAAACACACCTGACCTCTCGACTGAAACACACCTGACCTCTCGACTGAAACACACCTGACCTCTCGACTGAAACACACCTGACCTCTCGACTGAAACACACCTGACCTCTCGACTGAAACACACCTGACCTCTCGACTGAAACACGCCTGACCTCTCGACTGAAACACGCCTGACCTCACGACTGAAACACACCTGACCTCACGACTGAAACACACCTGACCTCTCGACTGAAACACACCTGACCTCTCGACTGAAACACGCCTGACCTCTCGACTGAAACACACCTGACCTCTCGACTGAAACACACCTGACCTCTCGACTGAAACACACCTGACCTCTCGACTGAAACACACCTGACCTCTCGACTGAAACACACCTGACCTCTCGACTGAAACACGCCTGACCTCTCGACTGAAACACACCTGACCTCTCGACTGAAACACACCTGACCTCTCGACTGAAACACGCCTGACCTCTCGACTGAAACACACCTGACCTCTCGACTGAAACACACCTGACCCCTCGACTGAAACACACCTGACCTCTCGACTGAAACACACCTGACCTCTCGACTGAAACACGCCTGACCTCTCGACTGAAACAAGCCTGACCTCTCGACTGAAACAAGCCTGACCTCTCGACTGAAACACACCTGACCTCTCGACTGAAACACACCTGACCTCTCGACTGAAACACGCCTGACCTCTCGACTGAAACAAGCCTGACCTCTCGACTGAAACACACCTGACCTCTCGACTGAAACACACCTGACCTCTCGACTGAAACACACCTGACCTCTCGACTGAAACACACCTGACCTCTCGACTGAAACACGCCTGACCTCTCGACTGAAACAAGCCTGACCTCTCGACTGAAACAAGCCTGACCTCACGACTGAAACACACCTGACCTCTCGACTGAAACACACCTGACCTCTCGACTGAAACACGCCTGACCTCTCGACTGAAACACACCTGACCTCTCGACTGAAACACACCTGACCCCTCGACTGAAACACACCTGACCTCTCGACTGAAACACACCTGACCTCTCGACTGAAACACGCCTGACCTCTCGACTGAAACACGCCTGACCTCTCGACTGAAACACACCTGACCTCTCGACTGAAACACACCTGACCTCACGACTGAAACACACCTGACCTCTCGACTGAAACACACCTGACCTCTCGACTGAAACACACCTGACCTCTCGACTGAAACACGCCTGACCTCTCGACTGAAACACACCTGACCTCACGACTGAAACACGCCTGACCCCTCGACTGAAACACGCCTGACCTCACGACTGAAACACACCTGACCTCTCGACTGAAACACACCTGACCTCTCGACTGAAACACACCTGACCTCTCGACTGAAACACACCTGACCTCTCGACTGAAACACACCTGACCTCTCGACTGAAACACACCTGACCTCTCGACTGAAACACGCCTGACCTCTCGACTGAAACACGCCTGACCTCTCGACTGAAACACACCTGACCTCTCGACTGAAACACACCTGACCTCTCGACTGAAACACACCTGACCTCTCGACTGAAACACGCCTGACCTCTCGACTGAAACACGCCTGACCTCTCGACTGAAACACACCTGACCTCTCGACTGAAACACACCTGACCTCTCGACTGAAACACACCTGACCTCTCGACTGAAACACGCCTGACCTCACGACTGGAACACGCCTGACCTCACGACTGAAACACACCTGACCTCTCGACTGAAACACGCCTGACCCCTCGACTGAAACACACCTGACCTCTCGACTGAAACACACCTGACCTCTCGACTGAAACACACCTGACCTCTCGACTGAAACACACCTGACCTCACGACTGAAACACACCTGACCTCTCGACTGAAACACGCCTGACCTCTCGACTGAAACACACCTGACCTCTCGACTGAAACACACCTGACCTCTCAACTGAAACACACCTGACCTCTCGACTGAAACACACCTGACCTCTCGACTGAAACACACCTGACCTCTCGACTGAAACACGCCTGACCTCTCGACTGAAACACGCCTGACCTCTCGACTGAAACACACCGGGTCAGGGTTCACTGGAGACAGGAACGTCACCTACAACAAGAGGAAGTGCTTTCAGGACATCAGGTGTTCACGAAATAATACATAAAACCTTTTTTTATAGATCAGATTCACCTGGTTCAACCTGTGATTAAAAAAAAGTCCCAGTTCTTTGTTTGGTGGCACATTTAATTCTATTGCATACACACTATATTAAAAAGCTAGTCTGGACACGTGCGGTTCCCGTTTAACTGACTCAAGAACTATCTTAGCTATTGCACAACAGCTCGTGTTCAGTTTCCCACACATCTGTAGAGTGAGTATTATTACACTCTCCACAAGTAACCATACAGCCTGACAGTGTTACAACTTGCACAGTCATATATTTACTGCCAATATTTTGGTGAAATATGCAAATAACTCGGAGATGTTTTGATTAAATAGTTCCTGAAGGGAACCGTATGAATTTTCCTGTTCATAGTTTTGACACCAGTCTCTCTCTCTTTCACGCACATTCCTGTACATTACAGTTCAGAGAGATGAATGAAGAAAACAGCTCCTCTAGAAATGCTTTACTAAACATTGCTTCACATTAATACATCTACAATATTAGTGAAATAGTAGTCAAATAAGGAAGCCAGCATAAGGTAGGAAAAATACATTTCCAGATGTAAAAAACATTTTGTTTGAATGCAATATGTATTTTTAAAAATGTAAATTGGATAATATAAATATATTTTTACATT